AAAAAAGGCTCCTTTGGTCACCCCAACATCCCGGAGCACTGGAAACACCACCCAGCAGGGCTTGGGAATGGAAGCTGGGGTCCACAGCCTGATGTTTACTTGAAGGCATCAGGAATGTGTGAAATCTGGGACTGCATGCTGGTGGGCGGGCTGGAGATGCCCTCGGACCAATCAGAGAGGTTGGAATGTGGGGAGGAGCTGGACCACTGATCCGGGGACTCTGGAGATGGGGTAAGGAAGGGGTGCTCGGGCACCTGCAGCTGGTGGCTGGGGGTGTTGTCCACAGGTGAAGAGGAACAGCTGTGCTGGGATGGTGGGGTCAGGAACTGGGCAGTGGTCATGGGTGGGACCAGCGAGGATGGCAGTGATGTGGGCAGGGCCTGGCTCTCCTGGGGCAAGATGGTGTGCACAGGCAGGCTGCTGGGGCCCAGGGGCTGCACGTCCGCTTGGCTGGGCTCCCCACCCAGGAAGCTCCGGCCCAGGTGCCCATTAGCTGCGGAGCTCACGGTGAGGTGTGGCTGCGATGGTGGCTGCAGGTTCTGAGGCTGTATTTGCAAAGTCTGTGGTTGCACCTGCTGGGTCTGCACCAGGTGTGGCTGGGTGGCCAGCCGTGTGTTGGGCAGGCCCTGGTAGATCATCGGGGACAGGGTATTGGTAGAGAGGCCGCTGTGCAGCGGACCCATCATACCATGCTGGAGGCCAGGTGCCTGTGTGCTCAGCGTGCCCGGTGTCACGCTTCCCCGCAGAGGGTTGTACTGGTTCGGGACCATGCCGTTCTGCAGCCGGGAAAGCCACTCGCACTGGCCATTCAAGCTGGTAGGCGCACCCACGGTAAAATTCACAGCCCCTGCTCCACTGGCGCCCAGCACCGTGCTGGCACTAGAGGCTACAGGCAAGTGGGAGAGGCGCGGGGGGCCAGGCTCAAAAGCCAGCCGGCCGCCCCCACCCAATGCTGCCATCTCTGGTTTGGCAGCCACATTCAGATGGCTGATGCTCAGGTGGGTGTCGGGCATGCCAGGCAGGTGGCCAAGAGGCATGGTTGGGGACTGATGGAATGGGGAGGGCAGGAGGGGCGGTGAGGCCACGTCTGACAGATAGCCGTGGGGTGACTCGAGAGAGTCTACTGGTGACAGCATGCTCGAACTGTCCAACAGGCAGCCTTTGCTGTCCTGGGACTTCTTCCTCCGGGCCTTGAGGTCTTTAGCGTCCTTGCTGCCGCAGGCCGGCCCTTTGGTGCTGGGCTTGCGGGCCTTCTTGCCCTGTGCAGCAGACTTGAGGTTGCCCAGGTAGCCATTGGGCGAGCAGAGAGTGGGAGACAAGGTGGGTGTGCCGCCCAGGGCGGTGCCATGCAGCTGGGGACTGCGCACCAGGTTGTACTCGTCCAGCAGGCGCACGATATCATGGTGCATGCGTTCCTGCGCGATGTCCCTCGGCAGGCGGTCCATGTGGTCCGTGATGTCCCGGTTGGCAAAGTGGTCCAGCAGCACCTTGGCAGTCTCGTAGCTTCCCTCACGGGCGGCCAGGAACAGAGGAGTCTCTTCCTGTACATGCACAGGGGGCAGGTGAGGGGACTGGGCCTGGTGTAGGGACCTGGTGAGTCACTCACTATGGGTGGTGGGGAGGAGGGTCTAGAGACCCACCTGGTCCCAAGAATCCTACTAGTCCTGAGGGCAGGTGATCTCAGATGGCATCTCCCTATGTTGCCCAAACTACTTTGGAGCTCACACTCCTCCTGTCTCAGCTTCCCAATGCTAGGATTACAGGTGCGTGCCACCACACCTGGCCAGGCCCCGAGTCTGTTTTAAAAAGCCTTACACATATCACTTCATACTCTCAAGAGAGGGCTGTGGGACCCTGCACGTTAAATCCATAGGGCTTACCTTCTGTGGGGTTGGACACTGCCAAAAACCTAACGGACTGCAGTTCCTTTATTCTCTCCCAAAATGCAAGTGCAATTTGGGGGCTCAGGAAACACTTAAAGCATGTCAGTGGATACAGAGAAGGAGCTTCCTGTCCAGAAGGGTGATCACCAGTGACCCTGGCATCTGTTCCTTCCAGGTCTGCTCTGCCCAGCAGACATGCCATATACCTCCCTGTGGGCCTAGAACTCAATCTACTAGGCTCTGACTCTCATAATTCCTGGCCCTCCCTGGACTGTGGAGACCCTGGGTCCAACAGCGCCCCTTTGGCACCTACTACATTTTCCAGTCTGCAGTGGAGTTTGGTAAGGGAGGCAGAAACTGCACTTCTAACCCCATGCGCCCAGAGGTGCCAACCACAGACATGAATCAATACCCAGATCTAGAGACACAGAGACACAGGAACAAGAGGTGGCAAGGTGGGAAAGCCCAGCCCAGTTCCCGGGGGAGGGGGAGTGGTGGACCAGGCCAGGGGCTGTTCTTCATATTTATAGACCTCAAAAGACAGAGGTACCACCCCAGCATCCTGGTCAATCTAGATTTACTGGGGTCACCCTTCCCCCGGGATAGGAAGAGACAGAAGGCAAGGTCCAGGTAACAGTGACATGAGCCAGCTCCTGAATGAGCACGGTGCTATCTTATCATCTGCTGTTCCAGTCTCCAGCCCCCCACACTTGCAAGGGGCCAGAGCTAGCTATGTTCCAGATATATGTGCACTGGAGTCCCTACCAGCCCCCTGTGGCTAAGATGGCCCCTCCGCTCACCTTGTTGTTCTGCATGTCCTTGTTGGCTCCGTTCTTCAAGAGAACCACCGCAGCGTCCACGTTGTTCACAGCCGCTGCCCAGTGCAAGGCTGATTTGCCTACAAAGAAAGCAAGCAGGTAAGAGAGTGGGTCGGGGTCGACCAGGCAGCAGTGGGCGTCCCCAGCAGCTGAGCTGGAGCCTGGGCATACCTAGATCATCCACGGCATTGACGTCAGCATGTGAGTTGATGAGGTCCTCCAGCATGCCCTCCACAGCCAAGCGCGCAGCCAAGATTAGTGGTGTCGTGCCGTCATGCATGCGGGCATCCAGGTCTGTGGCTCGGTTCCGAAGCAAGATCTGAAAGGCGGGGATGGACTCAGGCGGGAGTGACCCAAACACAAGCCAGTATCTCCTAAGAGTCAATGCCTGGACTGGACCCAGCTACCCCCATGACTCAAATAAGTCCCTTGTGGGGTCTGAATGGGACAGATCGCATTCAGCAAGATGGGACACTAAAGAGCTGCACTCCATGTGTAAGATGGGCCAGGTGACAGTGGGGGCCCACATGACCACATGTATCCTCATGTATGGAAGCCATGTCCATGTCAGAGGAGCCAAGCTCCTACTTGACATGAGGAAACAGGCGGGGTCACCGGATGGGAACCCCCTCTTGGAGCTCTGCCCAACTTAGAACTGCTGAGCTGCCCTGGATCTCTCCAGGCCTTTAACATACTACCCTGCCTGGGTCACAGGCGGGAAGGGCGGGATGGTGACCTGGGTGAGGGCCTGTGGCACTGCCCCAGCGTCTGCAGAGTGCCACAAATCTGAGCATAGCAGGCCGTGTAGACAGCTGCACACCAGGCACCCGCAGGATCTGCACCCAGAGACTTACAGCTGATCTCAAATCTTTTTGCTTTTCTTTTTCTTTTCCCTTCTTTTTGCTGTTTTGAGACCTACATAGACCAGGCTAGCCTTGCATTCACAGTCCTACCCTGGATTCTGGAGTGCTGGGATTACATGTCTGGTTTAATTTCTTCCGCAGAATGTTAAGTATTAAGAAAGTATTAAATGCCAAGCTTTCTGATGCCTGTTCTGTGCCCCAATAGAGCCTGCTCCAGGGTGGCTTAGAGGATGAGGCCTGATAGCAGGGTCACTGACTAGCAAGCTGAAGGAACAGCCACCGGGGACAGTCTCTGGAGACCCAGGCATCTAAATCCCTATATCCATCCTGGCTGGCTGCAGGCTCCTGGGCAAAGCCCAGAGAAAGGTTTTCAGGCCACAAACAGCAGGCTCCAAAGCCCTTTTCCTGCTGCCCTGGGCTACACCTGCATCACAGCTAAATGGGTTGGGACCAGGATGCAAAGCCTAGAATGTCAAGCTGGGCCACGACCCTAAGACTGGAGGTCTTGGTTGGGGGGTGAGGAGGTCCCGCCTCACCCTATAGGCCCCTCAGGACACCTCATCCAGCTTTTCGCTTGCTGTCCTCTCCAGCCTGGGCTTCCTTCAGTTCCAGTGTCAGGGTGCCAACTACCTTGGCCACCTTGGACTCAGAGCTCTTAGGGACCCTGTCATCTGGACCATTGCCCTGGATCAGGCTGGTGGCCCCAAGGAGGCAGCACCACCTACCTGGAAGACACCCTGAGCATCGGCAGAAACAGCTGCATGCAGCGGGGTGCGACCCATGTTGTCCTGGATGTTGGCGTCTGCACTGGCCTCCAGCAAGCGCTTGGCGGCATCAGAGCGAGAGTAGCGGGCGGCCAGGTGTAGGGCAGTCTCCCCGGTGCGATCTGTCTGGTTGTGAAGGCTGGCGCCTTGATAGATGAAGTCGGAAATGACGGCAGGTGCATCTTCTTCCTCTTCACTGTTGGCGGTTTCCAGGCCCCCTCCACTGCATGAGGCGATCATGAGGGGTGTGAAGCCATCTGTGGAGAGGGCAGAGATGGGTGCTGGGCGGGGAAGTCAGCCCAGAAGGGTCAGCCACCAGCCACTACCGTGGCACAGTCCTCAGTTCAAGGGGCAGTGGTGTGGACACACATGCCTCCCAGCCCATGCTGGGGGCCGTGGAAGTCACCTCAAGGACAGCTTTGGGCAAACTGCCAGCTTGCCAGTAGGTAATAGAGACCCCTCCAGCTTTGCTTCCTAATCTTTCCAAGATCTCGCCAGAGACCTACCCAAGAAAAAAATATGAAAAGTGTACTTAAAGAGTCAATACTGGGGGGGCTGGAGAGATGGCTCAGCAGTTAAGAGCACTGACTGCTCTTGCAGAGGACCCGGGTTCGATTCCCAGCACCCACATGGCAGCTAACAACTGTCCATAACTCCAGTTCCAGGAAGAATTCCATGCTCTCTTCTGACCTCCATGGGCATCACACAACACATACATGCAAACAACACACTCATACACATAAAAATAAAATATTAAATATTAAAAAAAAGTCAATTCTGGGCCAGCAGATGACTCAGTGGGTAAAAGGTGCTTGCTGTCAAGCCTGACAATCTGAGTTTGTTCCCTAGGACCTATATGTTAATGGAGAGAACCAACTCCTGCAAGCTGTCTTCTGACCTTTCTCCTCCAGAATAAATAAATATTGAAATTTTTTTTCACAGTAACCACACCCGAAATTCCTTCACTTCAGAGGCTAAGACACAAGAGTCACATTTAGGGCCAGTCTGGACAACGGACTGAGTTCAAGGCCATCCTGGGCTACAGTGTGAAATCTTGTCTCAAAATCACAAAGAAAAAAGAAAACACTTTGAAGTGTTGCAGAGCAGCATTTCAGGAGGATGTGAACTTTGGGGGGCAGTAGGAGTCCAGAGCATTGGCTGGAGGGGGAGCACTGCGAAGTCCTGTTGAATTGTGAGTGGGGGGGGGTCAGGTGGCCTTACCTGGTCCTCGGACATTGACATCCATGCAGTCTGCGTCTACCTCGCCCTGGGGAGGTGTTGGGGCCATGGCAGACATGCGCAGGTCGGCGGCGTCCAGGTGCTGCTGGGTCCACTGCCGGTGGTCAGTCTGATCATCCAGGTCGGGGAGAACCACTGACTCCTCAAACTGAGTTTGGACAGAGGGAATGAGCGAAAGCCACATGACTGGGGACCCAGGAGGGAGATGCCCACCGACTCACCCGGAACTTCTTGGTCTCCAGGACTTCGTCTCCCCATTCGTTCTGGTCGTCCATCAGGGCACCATCTGAGGCATTCTTCAGGGGCCTGAGTGAGGAGGTGGAAGGGGGGACTGAGCAGGTTCCTCAGAAAATGCCCTGCAGCCACAGCTTATATGGGTATCCACTGCCACAGATGAGCTCAGGGTGAGGATGGGGATGGGCCGGCCGGAGCCAGCCCCCCGAGCCGAACCTGCCCTGCGGCGCGGAGCCCACCTAGGCCCTGCCGCCCCCCACAGCCACCCCAGGCAGGAACACTGTCTACTCACTTGAGGCCAACAGAGTCCTCACCCAGGGGCTCTCGCCGCTTTTTCTTGCTGGCTTCCGACACCTTGAAGCCCTCAGGGAACCAGAGCTGGCCATGCTGCCGCCTGCGCTTGCGGGACAGCAGCACCCCGCAGCCCACAAAGAAGAGCAGCACGAAAGCGGCGGCGGCCACGTACATGAGGTGCAGCTGCGGGGGCAGCGGTGGCTCCACCGTTTCACCTGTGGGTAAGGGCGGCAGGCAAGAACCCCAAGTCAGGCGTGACGATGTGGCGGGCCGGTGGCCAGGGGTGGGGGGCGGCAGACTGGCTCCACGGCCGGGCGCCTCTTCACCCACTCTCCTCCATCCCGCCCCCCAAAATAAGGTCATTTTCTACGCGATTAATCAGAATTGCAAACTATTGCTAAATTCTCTCCTGCACCAGCCGATCTGTCTGGAGACGGCACTCACTTCTCCCCTTTCGGGGAGGGGGATTAACGAACTTCAAATCGCTGCGCTCGCATTGAGCTGTTAAGACAAAGGATTTAGGGGGATTTTCAAGATACAAACTTCAACACTTCACATGACACCGATCAATTCTTTATTTCTCCCTCTCTCTTTAAAAAAAAAAAAACTGTAATGATTTTGAAATAATATCCAACAAAGAAAAATCAGGGGAAGGAGTAGGAAAATCCTCCCCCACACTTCCTGGCTCGCCTACGCCTTAGAGGGGGCAGCTCCACCTATGGGGCTGTCACTACCAGGAGGGAGGGCATGCCATCCAGAAAATTCCAGAAAAGCACTTCCTGAGCTCTGGATGGCACCTGGCACAAGCAGTCAGAACCCTCAGGGCACAGGCGGGCTGAGCCCCTCCCATGCAGACCCCCTCTCCACCCAAGCCGAAGGAGAAGGCTCTGGAGAAGGCTCCGGGGGGGGGGGGGGCTACTCACTCTTCACGGCTTCAATCTTGTAGGGGATGTTGAGGCTGCCAAGGGAGGCAAGTGCCCCCAGGAAGGCGGCCACATCGGTGGCACTCTGGAAACACTGCGAAGACGACTGTACACACTGTCGGTTGTCGATCTCCAGGTAGACGATGGATCTGGGGACATGAGGGTCACACTGGGGTCGGACACTTCCTTCCCCAGCACCTGCCCCGGCACGCTGCCTGTGCACCAGCTCTGCCCTCCATGCTACCATCTGATGCAGACAGTGGGTCTGACCGCAACAGCCCTGCGGCTGGACAGTCCCCCTGTAGCCCCAGTGCTCAGCAGACACTGCCCTTAGGGTCCACAGCTCACTTTTTCTCCATCTCAGGACAGAGCGTCCGCAGCAGACCAGGACCTCCTTGGGAGCCATGCCCGCTGCCTCACAAACGTACAAGGATACAGGTACAGTGACCCACTTGGGGATTATCCCTCGGGACTCCCTAGAGTACCCTGAGGCAGGCTCAGAACACTAGGGAGCTGAGACACACCAGCCCTGAGACCCACTCCCAGGAGCTGGCCTCGCCCCCACAGGATTCTAAGACAGCCTCTGGGTGATGACACACTTCTGCCCTTTCCTGTTGAAATCACAGCCAAGGAACCTCTGGGGTCAAGACACACCAAGGTGCACCACCCAGAAGCTCAGTGGCTCGGCTGGTCAGGGTCAAGGAGGAACAGGTGGAAGGCTCCCAGACCTCCAAATGCAGGGCGTAGAGGGGGTGAGAGACTGGGCCTGGCCAGCGCTTCTCTGCCGACCCCCAGGCAGCTCCCTGCAGCATCTGGGAACTCCCGCTGGGAACTCCCGTTTGTGCCTTCCCACTGCCCTCCTCGGCTCCTCAGCCTTCAAGGCCAGGCCACGAGTCCCTCTGCAGTCCCTGAAGTCTGGGTACGGAGGCTGCAGATTCTAAGTTTCAGGCTTGGTCTAGGGTGGACTTAGCCCCAGGGGAGACTCTGGAAGCTTGAATGACACAATGCAGAGCAGGACCTCAAAACCACATACTGGACTTAGCCCCAGGGGAGACTCTGGAGGCTTGAATGACACAATGCAGAGCAGGACCTCAAAACCACATACTGGACAAAGGGCCAAGCCTGCCAGGGACAGGGGATGTCGGACCATCCCAGGTCCTCCTGGAACCTGACTTCTTTACTATAAAGTAGGGTTAGTACTGCTTTCCTGGGGCCGCCGTAAGGACTGAGCTGGTGGTCCAGCGAGGCGATGCGAAACAGCCCACAGCAACACAAGCTGGAGGCCTACTCACCCACGGATCTCCATGGGGTCCAGCTCCCTGCGCTGGCGCCCACCACTGGAGCCTGGGAGCACCGAAGAAGTGGCCTGGCTGAGCAGGGAGCTGGGTGAGGCCCAGCCCGCTGCAGAGCGCTTGATAGGGTGCTTTCGAAGTTCCTCCTCATGGCCGTAGTAGGGAAAGATCATCTGTTGGCCTTGGGCATCACGCTTGAAGACCACGTTGGTGTGCAGCACGTGGCTGAGCTCACGCAGGAAGTGGAAGGAGTTGTTGCGCAGCTGCTCAGGTGGCAGCAGCACCACCACCACCAGCGTGCCGGCTGCCAGCCGCTCTGGCACGTGCTCTGCGCAGTCCAGCCCGTCCCACTCACACTCAGCGCTGTTACATCCCTGGTCACAGTGGCCGTCGCTGAAGTGGTCCTTGCAGTACTGGTCATACAGGGGGCTGTGGGGTGCAGTACACACTCAGGCCCACCCTGGCCTGGGACCTTCTGGGGGCCTCATACCACCTCTATCCAGCCAGGGGCGCACCCCCACTCTGACGGGAGCAGCCCTAGGGAATGTATTTGAATGCCCTGCTGGGCAAGGAGGAGACACTGGCCTCACAATCCCAGTATTTAGTTTGGACCTTCCTCCCCCAGCTGTCCGATGAGCCTGGGGACCCCAAGGCCAGCTGTCCTTACTTGCACTGGCCCTCTGTGCGCTGGCAGTCGAAGCCGTCGAAGAGGCAGCCAGCCGTGTTACACTGGCTGTCGCAGCGGCCGTCGCTGAAGTATTTCCAGCACTGCAGGGACTGCGTACAGTTCTTCCAGGGGTCGTTGAAGTTGAGCGAGCAGTCACCGCCGTCCCAGCCACATGCATGGTTGTTGCACTGCAGGCTGCAGAGCTTGTTGCCCGCGTCCTCCTGGCACTCGGGCAGCTCGCAGGCCTCTTCAATCTGTGGTGGGGGGATGTCACGCCCAGCACCGCCAGTGAAGCTGTAGTCCAGGATGTGGCACAGCAACCCGTTGAACTTGGCAGGGCACAGGCAGCGGTAGAAAGGGCTCTCGGAGGTGGGCTCGCAGGTGCCCTGGTTGTAGCATGGGTTGCCACCCACGCAGGGGCTACTCGCTGGGAACTGGCACTCGGGGCCTGTGAAGGGGCCCAGGCACAGGCAGGTGGGGCTGCGTGGGCCCGAGATGCATGTGCCACCATTGAGGCAGCGTAGGCTGCCACAAGTACGGGCGTCGTTTTCACATGTGGCGCCCTCGAAGCCCTGTGGTAAAGGGAGGGCAGCACATGGGGACGGGGTCAGGTTCCTGGACATCACGCACCCCAGCCCAGGACTGGTCATAGCTTCCCCACCTAGGATAGGTGCCTGTGGCCTTTCGCCAGTATCAACACCCTTGAAACATCCTCTTCATAGGGAGGTCAGGGTTGCCAGGAGCTCAGAGGTAGAGGGAGGGACGAGTGGGTGGGGCCCTGCGAGTTTTTAGGGCCATGAAACTCCAGGGTGACATTGGTAATGGCTATGTGATTACTTTTGTGCCCAAAGCCAGAGCGTCAACACCCAGAGCAAACTGCGTACTAGCCTGTGATGTTTGGGTGTTGGTTCTGAATGTGTCGCCCCCAACACCTTCCATGCAAGGTGGTAACCACAGGAAAAGGCAGGCAGGGCAGGGAGCTGGTCCTATTAATTCTCATGTAAACCTCAAACTGCTCTAAAATGAACATCTATTTAGAAAGCTCAGTGGCAGATCATTTGCCTAGCACGTGTGAAGACCTGGATTCCCGACAGCACATCTGGAAAAAGAACTTTATTTTTATTTTTTTGGTCTTTTAAAAAAACATGTGTGTATGCCAGGTGTGATGACGCACGCCTTTAATCCCAGTACTTGGGAGGCAGAGGCAGGCGATCTCTGTGAGTTTGAGGCCAGCCTGGTCTACATAGTGAGTTCTAGGTCAGCTGGAGCTACAGAGAGACCCTGACTCAAAAAAGACCAAAAAAAAAAAAAAAAAAAGGGTGTGAGAGTTATGCCTGCATGTGTACGAGTGCACCCATGTTGTGTAGTACCCGCAGAGAACAGATGAGGGTGTCGAATCCCCTGGAAATGGAGTTACAAACGGTTGTTAGCTGCTATGTAGACACTGGGATTTGAACCTGGGTCTTCTACAAGAACAGTCAGTGCTCTTAACAGCTGAGCCATCTTTCCAGACCCTTTTTTTGGTCTTTTTGAGACAGGGTCTTCCTGGCTGGCCTAGTACTGTGTAGACCAGGCTGGCCCAGATCTCATAGAGATCCGCCTGCCTTTGCCTCCAGATGCTGAGATTAAAGACATGTACCCCCATGCCTGGTTGAGGAAAAAAAAAATTTCTGCTTTTTTCTTTTTGGTGTTTTTGAGACAGGGTCTCCCTGTAGCCCCAGCTGTCCTGGAACTTGCTACGTAGACCAGGCTGGCCTTGAACTCCCAGAGATCCACCTGCCTCTGCCTCCTGAGTGCTGGGATTAAAGGTGTGCGCCACCACACCTGGCACTTTTGCTTTTTTGTTGTTCTTTTTAAAATTTATTTTTATTATGTGTATGAATTGTATGAATGGTTTATCTACATGTAAGTGCACTGCATGTGTGCAATGCCTTTGGAGGCCAGAAGAGGGCATCAGATCCCTGGAACTGGAGTTGTTAAGCTGCCATATGGGTGCTGAGAACTGAACCTGGGTCCTCTGCAAGAGCTGCCAGGGCTCTTAACTGCTTAGCTATCTCTCCAGCCCTCAATTTGCTCGTGTGAAATAAGGTCTTTGCATGCTCCACTAAACGTGGCTCCAATGTTTTTGAATCAACTAGAGGAAAGAGGATAAGGAGGCCTGGGGCTTAGTCCCTGACCTCTGCCCAAAGCTTCCAGGCTGACCTGGTCTGGGGTGGGCAGGGGACAGGCCCACCCATGGTGAGAGTCAAGGGGTCCCACCACCCTCAGATCTGGGGCTCTAACAGCTGCACAGAGCTGGGAAAACCTACCGCAGGGCACCTGCAGATGAATCCTCGGGCGGTGTTGGATGCCACGGCGCAGACACCCCCATTCTTGCATGGTTTGCCTCTGCAGCCATTGATGACAGACTCACAGCGGCGCCCTGTGTGAGAAGAGAGTAAGGAGGCGGCCCATTGCTGACACCCCCCCGGCCCCACCAGCCTGAGACACACACCGGTATGGCCAGCTCGGCACTCGCAGTGGAAGTCGTTGATGCGCTGCACGCAGTTCTGAGTGCCTCGGGGGTCACAGGGGTTGGAGAGACACTCGTTGACGTCACCTTCGCACCGCTCTCCTACAAAACCCGGTGGGCAGGTGCAGCTGTAGCCACCCACCTGGTCCACGCAGGTGCCATTGTTGAAGCACTTGGGGCTCCGAGAGGCAGGGTCAAGGGGGGGATGGCAGTCATCCACGTTGATTTCACAGTGCACACCTGCAGGGTGACCACAGACCCCCATCAGGGGCTGATACTGGCTACTCCCAGGCCCACTCTGTCCTGTGGGGCCCAGGGGCCAGAACTGGGACCATGCCATGCCCAGGAAAGGAGGTGCAGCACCAGGAGAGCCCCATCTTCCCTGCCAGGACTCCTGCTCTCTTGTCAGTTCTGCATCACCCTTGGTAAGCTGGTTACAGGCTGCCTCGGGACAGCCCCAGTGTGCCTGACTTGTCTGCCTTCCCCTGGCCATGGCCAATCGGCCCTTCCAAGGGGTGGGCGTTGGGGGCAGCCTTACCCTGGGTGCCCCGGGGGCAGGAGCACTTGTAGGTGTTGGTCAGGTCGATGCAGGTGCCCCCGTTCTGGCAGGGCTGGGACAGGCACTCATTGATCTCCTCAGAGCAGTTGGATCCATGGTAGCCAGCCACACACTGCAGAGGTGGCACAGGCTGGCGCTCAGCTGGGGCCGTGGTGCCACGTCCCCCACCTGCTGTCCAGGCCCTCATCCACACTGAGGCCTATACCAGCAGTCCTGGAAGGAGGCTCTAGCCACCAGGCTAGGCCTTGTTAAGCTGAGTCAATGCCAGAGTCGAGGAGAGGACAAGGCCTGGACCCACAGGGCAGAGGTGAAGCCTCAGGGCAAATGTCAGGAACCTAACACTATCTAGGTGACGGGTGTCACAGGCCACTGCTTGGCATGTTCCTCCTCCTCCAGGCAGTCTTCCCCAGTAGGACAGGGTCCTGCACAGGTATGTGCCACCTTGCCCTGGGGGACACTGCGGTCAGTCTGCCATGTTGCACCAGCTACGACCTCAATGCCTGGTGCAATGACACTTGTGCCATTACCACCCCTCCCTCCCACCCCCCACCCCAGGATGACCCGAACCTTGCAGGAATAGCCGCCTAGGTAGTCAGTGCAGGTGGCTCCGTTCTGGCAGGGGTTGGGTGAGCACTCGTCCACCTCCTCCTCACAGTAGCTGCCCGTGTAGCCCGCCTGGCAGTGGCAGTGATGTTTGTCATCCTCGTCCACACAGAGCCCTCCATGCCGGCACAGGAGGGTGACGTCGATGCCTGTGGGGACAGGGCGGGAGGGAGCTGAGGCCAGGGCTCTTCGGTCATTCCCTCATGATCTGGTGGGCACTTGGGCATCCTAGGCCTGGGTCGGGTCGAGGACACACGGGCCCTACCTCGCTTTTGCGCAGCCACCTCACAGGACACGCTGAGCACGTCGCAGTTGAAGCCGGTCCAGCCACCGCGGCACTCACAGTGGTACTGAGTGTTGGTCTGCCAGCATCTGCCGTCATTCTTGCAGGGAGAGGAGTCGCACCAGCGCACGAGGTTCTAGGGACAGGCAGGGGTCGGCCTCACTTCCTGGCAGCTCCAACTGGGGCGCCCTCCTGGAATCACCCCTGGCCAGCTCTGACTGGGGTGCCCTCCTGCCACGCCCCCATAGGCAGCTCAGAGAGGATGTCATCTAAGAACTCCAGGACACAGTGGGCTGTAACCTCCACCCTAGAAAAAGGGACCTCACGGGGTTCGGAGCAGCCTGGGGGCTGAGACCTATGACTGCCTGGCATTCCACCAAGGCCATCAGCAAACCCGGCCACCTGCAGCCTTCCCTCGAACGTCCTTCCTCAGACGTTAGCACCGTACCCAGGCTGCTTCTGACGCGGCATGCGTGACATGCTCCACAGAAGCACCTGGCACTCCAGCATCTCCCTCATAAGCACCGGCCCTGCCATTTTCCCAGAGGACACAGCTCCTCCCTGGCCCCATAAGCCTGTGATGACACACGGGAGCCCTATCTGCCTATGTCCCTGACCCCCCAGACCACCGTGTAGCACAGCCCAGGGCCAGGCACTGGACAGCAGACTTCCATCCCTGCAGCCTTGACTCACCTGGCAGTTGAGGCCAGTGTAGCCCTGTGGGCAGGTGCACTTGTAGGTGCCGTAGCTGTCCTGGCAGGTGCCGCCGTGCAGACATGGCCGTGAGTCACACTCGTTGACGTTGTATTGGCAATAGCTGCCAGTGAAGCCGGGAGGACAAAGACAGGTGAAGGAGTTGATGCCGTCCACGCAGGTGCCGCCATTGAAGCAGGAACTGGGGACAGGTGAACAGCAGGGAAGGGGTAAGTGGGCCCAGGAGGTCCTGACCACAACACTTTTATATCACATCATATCTCCTTTCTTCACTTTTTTTTGGTCTTTTGAGACAGGGTCTCCCTATAGCCCCAACTGGCCTGGAACTTGCTATATAAACCAGACTGGCCTCGAACTGCCTGCCTCTGCCTTCCAAGTGCTGGGATTAAAGTTGTGCGCTACCACGCCTGGCTCCTTTGCCTTTCTCATAACTCTTCTTGAGAATTACAACACGTAGAGGTACGTGAAGGTTAAAAGAGAACCAAGGACGAAATCAGAATAATGTAGGGAATACATCACAAACCAAGCATGAGATTGGCGTTTAACACCAAGCTTCCTGGCAACCAAGGCAAAAGGGGAAATAAGAGGGGTTACAAAGCTTCTGCTTGATAGACAGAGGTTCACCAATTCTCCTGGATAAACTATAGGACTTCCTGGTTCTACCTCACAGGAGGTCACAATGGCCCTTTTAGGAGGAACACTACAGTACAATGAACAATGCTGGACCCAACTCAATTAGTACTGAGTACTCACTGGGTCTGGGCAGACACCTGCTGGAGGCGCCAGGCTGCCAGTCCCTCCCCAGCCTCAGCCAAGCCTGGGTCCCACCAGGCCACTCTCGAGGCCAACAGTCTGGGATGTACCTCTCCGTGCAGTCTGGTGTGTTGTTCTCGCAGTGTATGCCGTTGAAGCCGGCTGGACAGGTGCACGTGTAGCTGTCCACACAGTCGGTGCAGTTAGCACCATTACGGCAGGGGTTGCTGGCACACTCATTGATGTCCTCCTCACAGAAAGCTCCCTGGAAGCCGGGCAGGCAGTCGCAGAAGGCCGTGTTGATGCCATCGGTGCAGGAGCCGCCATTGTGACACGGGTCTTAAGGAGCAGAAGAGTGAGCCTGAGTGTGGGCACCGACCATGATGTAGGGGGCTGAGGCTAAGAAGCTGGTGTGGCCCTGCCAGGGCTCACAGAGAGCCTCCTGGGCCCCCTTACCCCAGGCAGATCCCGGCTCTGAGCCTGGGCTCTGCTCCCCACAGATGCTTCAGGCCCCAAGGCGTTGGGAGACAGTGATTCCACCAGTGAGACAGACCAACTGCAGCTGATAACCACCCTCCGCAGCACACAGACACTGGGTGACACCCCCTCCGCAGCACACAGACACTGGGCGACACCCCCTCCGCAGCACACAGACACTGGGTGACACCTGGCAAGCCCTCGATCTCTCTAAGTCTTAGCTTTCTGTGACTCAGGAATAGGGGCAGCCCCAGAGCCCTGCATAACTCACGGGGTCCTGACAAGAACCCAGAGTCAGAGTGGAATGTGGCGAGGCCCTGCGCCACCATCACGAGGCACCTGTTGCATCTGTTCCACGTCACCCAGCTGGGTTGGGCAATCTAGCTCCAAAGCCTTCTAGAACCACTTGGTCAGCCCATGTGAGGCATGCAGTGGTGCTCAGAGGTTACCTCCCTCCCAGTCTGTCTCCAGCATCTGACCTGGCACCTTCTGGACTGAGCCGAGTACACAGCTACACAAGGTCCCGAGGCTGGCAGCAGCAGCTACAGCTGGGCACTAGAGCTATTCCCGCCTCAGACCCTGAATAGCTCCCTGCCATGCCTGCCTAGGGAACAGATGCCTGAGCGTAGGAGTGGCTAGAGCTGGGCATCACTTACTGGGCCGACAGTCATCGATGTCGCTCTCACAGTTGCGGCCCGTGTAGCCGGCATGGCAGAGGCAGCGGTAGCCACCATTGGTGTTCTGGCAGGAAGCCCCATGACGACACGGGCTCTTCACACACTCGTTGATGTCGATCTCACAGGTTTGCCCTATGAGGAGATCCGGTTGGTCACCACAACCCTGCCCACTGGGCCTCTGCCCTAGCTGGTCAGTCTCCCTGCAGTGCATCTCCCCGACCCTCGGGGAGTAGCAGGCTACAGAATAAGGATGGGAAAGGCCACCCAAGGTCCTCTACTGCTTCTGTAGCGCCCCAGGGGGTGGCTTGGCACCCATGGGTTCATCTACAGAAACCAGAAGCCCACTCCCTCCTGCTCTGGGGCTAGCCAGGGCCCTTGACTACCCACCACCCCCCGTCCCAGCCTACTGGGACCAGGCCAGCCTCACCCTGCCAACCAGTAGGGCAGACGCAGGAAAAACTCTCGTAGTCCTCAGATTCCTTGCACACCCCGCTGTTTTTGCAGGGGCTGTTGGCACATGGCGCCAGCACTACCTCACACGTGGCTCCTAGGGAGAAAGACATGTATTGGAACCCAGTGGCCCTGGCCCACAGTATCTTCCACAGAGAGGAAAAAAAACGTACAAGGGACTCTGTATGCCCAGTCAGTCAGACCTGATCCTGAGAAGGGTGGGCAGACAGACAGGAAATCAGAGACAAAGCGGAAACAGGTCTCTCACTGAAGCCACTACTTTTTTTCAGAGGGGGTGTGTACATGTGGGTGTGTGGTGTATGCATGTGTGGTGTATGCATGTGTGGTGTATGCATGTGTGTATGCAGCGGCCAGAGGACGTCAGTATCTTCCTCTAACCCTATCTACCCCTTTAAGACAGGATCTCACTAAAACCAAAGCTCACCATTCAGCTAGGCCGGCCAGCCAGTGAGCTCTCGGGATCTACCTATCAGCCCAGCAACACAGGAATTACAGGCGTGCACAGTCGTGTTCTGCTGTTTGTGTGGGTGCTAGAGATTCAAAATCAGTTCCTCAAGCTCACACAGCAAGCATTCTTCCCCACTGAGAGCCATCTCCCTAGCCCCTGAAGCTATGTCTTATCCCTTAATGGCTATGGCCTGGACCTTGCCATAACCAGAGTGCCCAAAACAAGGCCTGTGTTAAAACAGGTGGCCAGCGTCTGATCCTGGGGACTCTAGATCACAGAAGGCTTACTCTGGAGGGAGACAGAGACAACTTGGCTACCCTGAGCACCTCCTATTTTGTGGGGTGCACGGGGTACTGCCTCAGGCCTGGGCAGCGAGTCTGGTAACCACCTGGGGGAGCCATGCACAACCGGGGTGGCTCTCCCTGTGGTCCAGGCTGGCTTTCCTGTTTACGGCCATAGCTGGCTCTGAGGAGTGGAGCGAGGAAGCCTTATCTTCCTTGTCTCCCTCCCACCATGCCCCTGGCCTGCTGGTGAGTCTCCAGGGCCTCTCTCTATCGGTTTCCACAGTGACCTGGGCAGGCAGGAACTTTGCCAGGGTTTCCGACAATTGTGTAAAGGGAAGCAGGAAGTGGGCCGACAGGAAGCAGATCAGCATGGCTGGACTCCTCCCACTAGTGAGCCCCCGATAGCAAGGAGACCAAGAAGGACATGGGGTACGCCCGGCTCTGACAGTTTCCTCACTGACTGACACAGTAGACAAAATCCAGGCCCCTAATTTTGGTCAAAGAAAACAGCATCCTGGACAGGGGCTGCAGGGAATCACTGGAACACAAGCAGGGACCTCCACCTTCCCAGGCCCACTTAGGATGCCCAAGGCCCAGCAGCAGCAGCAGCACAGAGCCCATCAGTCTCCAGTGGCAACATCTAGAGCTGTCAGGCCTTGGGCTTTCATGTTCAATGCTTTGAGCATCTTTCCTGCAGGGGGTCCGCTTCCCGCCACTCCTAAGGCAGCGCCTATGGCAGGAGCAAAGCGCTGGGGAAATGCCTCCCGCCTCTGTTCACCCAAACAGAAGGCTCCTTGTCCTCTGACACAAAGAAACTGCCATCAAAGGAATCCCAGGCCAGCAGGCAGGGGAGGGTGGCCAGGGCCCTAGAGTCCCATGCAGAGTGGACACTGAGCCATGCAGGCTGTTAACCTGGGCGGGTGCTGCCTGCTGAGGAGTCCAGTGCCCACCTGTCTCTAGGCACACCAGATAAACACTCACTCTGGAGCTTCTTGCCAGGCATCCTCTATGTGGGTTCATCTGGAAACGCTAGCTCCGGGCCCAGGCCCAAGTCCAAGTGCTGCAGGACCTAAGGCCCTCAGCAAGAAGCAGAACCTTCCAGAATGCCTGGTGAGCCACATACACACCCAGCCACCACCACAGCCCACTTCGGTGCCCCAGCTGCTCGCACCTGTGTAAGGCAGAGGGCAGTTGCACTTGTACCCGGCTACATCATCGATACAGGTGCCCTGGTTTAGGCATGGGTTGGACGCACACTCGTTGATGTTGGTCTGGCAGTTGGGGCCTGGAAGGAGAATGGCGGCAATGAGGGAGGGGTGGACGCATCCCTGGCCCTGATGCAGGTGCATCCCTGGCCCTGCTCCCACCTCACCTGTTCCTTTACTCTTGGCAGGGCCAGAGGACCAGCGTGAGAAACACCCATGTGCCAAGCAGACCCAGAGGGGATGCTGTGGGCAGTGCTGCCAGCCCCAGGCCACCAGGGAGGACCCACTCTGCTCCGCCACCCATGGCACTCACCACTGAAACCTTCTCGGCAGGTACACACGTAACCACTGGTCATGTCTTTGCAGGTGCCACCATTGACACATGGGTTCGACTCACACTCATTGTTGTTGATGTCACAGTTTGTACCGCTCCAACCAGGGTCACAGTCACACTTATACCTAGAAAGAGGACCAGGCTGCAACCAGGCCCTTCCGACTGGACTACAGCTCGCGTAGTCTAATGGCACAGACACATGTTCCACTGGGGCACTCAAGTCCTTTAAAGTGAGGTAGAGGTGTTCACCTTGCTCAAGACTGTGAAAGGGTTCTACCACATCAGACTGGACACCATGGCCATGTACTGACCCTTTCTGTGCACCATGACTTAGGCGGTCTGCTGCAGGCAAAGCGGAGCCCTATGTACCACAGGTGTCAGAGGCTTGCTTCAGCTGCTACCCTGTGTGTCTAGGGATACCTGAAGATCTAGATCCTGAGCTGGCACTAGTCCATGAGGACACAGCCTACAGCTGCTGGGTATAGGCTTAGAGCTAACCTCAAGACCACTGTCTCACCAGGATCACCCATCTCCCAGCCTGTATCTGCCCCAGGCTTCCAAACCAATGCCTCCCTGGCATGCCCACCATACCCATTGAGACCGTCCCGGCAGGCCCCGTGGATGCAAGGGTTGCTGTTGCATTCGTTGACTTCAGACAGGCATGTGGGGTCGTGGTAGCCCTCGGGGCAGCGGCAGGTGAAGCCCGCGATGCCGTCCTCGCAGGTGCCCCCATTGTGGCAGGGATTTCCTGCACACTCATCAATGTTAACATTGCACATGCTCCCTGTGGACATAGAGGGGCTCAGACTCCAGGGCTGGCCCCCAGGGTCTGCCCGTCCAGGGTCCAGACTCATCTGAACTCAGTTTCCCCATCTGCTAACGGGCTATGGTAAATTGTTTTATGTAGCAAGTAGCCACAGTACTAGTAACTTTAGGCTCTCAAGTAGCCCAGGCTGGCCTCAAACTCACTATGTAGCTGAGGATGACCCGAACTTCTGAGCTTCCTGCTTCCAACTCTATAGTGCGGGGATCACAGGCATATGCCACCACACCTGGTTTATGTGGTGCTGGGGATTGAACCCAGGGCTCTACCAACTGAGTCACATCCCTAGTCCAGCTTCACTGCACTCCTGAGGCCCATCCTTTCCTGCTGTTCTCTTGGGACACCTCCAGGGCACAGGCTACCACTGGCCCCTCTGACTTGAAGAGACCTTGGGGCCCAGAGAGGCTGAGGACATAATCAGAGTGAAGGGTATCAGAGACAGAGGACATGCCCAGAAGCCTGGCCTCAGAGCTCACCCCATCACAGCCTACTGGGCCATCAGGTCTGACACTGAGAGGGAACAGAAGGCATGTGAGGGCCACACCCATCTTTCTGCTATCTCCACTAGCTGGCAGCCTGACAGCTGGGCAGTGGGCACCACCCTGTGGCATCCCAGTCCTCAGACCCCTGCTAACTCCAGAGTCTCCATCCAACTTGACCAATGACTCAAGCTGCCTTGACCTCCGACCTCAACTCTAACTGTCCTACCCCCGAGCCACTGCTCACCTGTGTAGCCTGGCTCACAGGCACACTCGTAGCCATTGATCTTGTCCAAACACGTGCCTGAGTCGCAGGGGCTACTGGCACAGTCATCCAGATTAATCTCACAGTTGGGTCCTGGCAACAAGGTGACACGTGGTCAGCAACCCAAGCCCTGTGCCCTTGCCCTCCACTGCCAGCCCTGGCCAGTCACCTGTGGTTCCCTTGAGGCATAGGCAGAGGTAGGCATTGTCGCGGTCCTGACAGGTGCCGCCGTGGCGACAGGGCTGGCTGTGGCATTCATTGATGTTGGTCTCGCAGTGGTGGCCTGTGTAGCCTGGCTGGCAGAGGCAGGTGAAGGTGGCCACGCCATCCTTGCAGGAGCCATAGTGACAGGGGTCAGGGTCACACTCATCAATGTCTACCTCGCAGTGGGTCCCGGTGTAGCCTGGATCACAAGAGGGGTGTGCACAGGTAGGCTTAAGGGCAGATCACTCCCTAGACACTCAGCTGTCCTCGCTTCCGGAAACCACTGAGCAGGCCCAGGATCACTGTGCCCAGTCAGTGATGGGATGTGGGGCACCATATACCCAGGGATATTCCTATCACCCCCCCACCTTGGGTCAGAGCTGAGGTAGCTCTGGATCCATGGTTTAGATGGCCCCAGACTGCAGCCTCTCCCAATCTTCTGTCCCCTTCCCACCACCCTCCAGTCCTGAGCATCCCCTCCCCTAGACGTGACTGCCTTCCGCACCTTCTGTGCACACACAGGTGTAGGTGTTGGGCCCATCCAGGCACTTGGCGCTGTTCTTGCAGGGCGTGCTGGCACACTCATCCACATCATACTGACACAGGTGCCCGCTGAAGCCTGTGGCCAGAGAGGAGGTGGTGGTCAAACCCAGGACAGTGCCATAGCTCCTCAGTTTTTCCCCACAAACCCCAGTGGCCCATGCCTGCCACACAGGCTCCCCCGAGGACGCTTTGGCCCCAGGCGCAGCTGACCATGAGCTTCTCCCACCCCACCCCTCTGATCAAAGTCCCTTGTTCGGCACCACTCAGTGGCTGCCTCCCTCGCCCAACAGTGGGGCCTTTTTCCCAAACTGCCTCTGGTTGCTATGGCTACAGCCGCACTAGGCTGTGAATGGGGCTCCCCTGGCTCACCCATGTCTGGAATGGCTGATTTACATCTTGGGAGGCCTGGTCCAGCCCTGGGGCAGGCAAAACACCTTCCCAAGCCCCCTCAGCCCCCTCCTCAGTTCCTCCAAGCCCTCCCTGGCCATCACAGCCTGGTGGGCCAGCTCCGCACACTATGTCTTCACTCCCCATGGTTATTAAGAAAGGGACATGGGAAAGCCAGACAGGTGGGCTCACCCATCCTGGGTAGCTCCAAGTCCTTTCTTGCTGGGAAGGAAGAGCTGAACTCCATTAGTTAGGAAGGTCTCCCTCAACCCCAGCATAGTAGACCCAATACCTACCGCCTAGCTGGGCCTCGACCTTTAGGGAAGGCCTCAAAACCCCAATTAACTGATAAGGTGAAGTCCTCCCTCCCAGCGGCCCGTGGCAGGTAGGTGGCCTCACCTGTGGGGCACTGGCACAGGAACTCATTGATCTTGTCCAGGCAATGGCCACCGTGCAGGCAGGGGCTGCTGGCACACTCATCTGTGTTGACCTCGCAGTACACACCCTCATAACCTGTGGAGAATGGATGGTGAGGCCGAGGGATAGCCTCAGTGGGTTCCACTATAATCCACGCCCAGCTGAGGATGTGGGACAGAAATGACCCAGGGTACAGACTTGGTATCCTAGCCAACTGTGGCTCATCTCTATACCCGCCCTGGGTCCATCCACCCAATTCTGGCCCATTCTCTGGTTTGCTCTGTGAGCTTTGCCTCAGTTTCCCAAATGCTTCGAGCTTTGACTAAAGCCTAACTTGAAGTTATCCAGCCTGGCTCAGTCTCCCACTCCCAGGAGCCCGCCACCCCCTGGTGGGTGACAGCATGGTACCTGGCATACAGATGCACTGGAACTCCCCTATCTGATCCAGGCAGGTGGCGTCGTTCTGACACGGGTTTGAAATGCACTCGTTAACATCGATCTCACAGCGGGGACCCGTGTAGCCCTGCAGGCACTGGCACTCAAAGGAGCCCAGTGTGTTGATGCACTTGCCTGCGTGCTCACAGGGGTTGGCACCTGGTGGACAGAGGCACAAATGAGGGCTGATCCCCAGCCCACACCATCAAACTGGTGGTTTTCCAGGACAGGTCGTGTCCCCCCCACATGACGGGACAAGCTGTCCCCACCGCACCTACCCAGAGCACACTCGTCCACATCCTGGCTGCAGGCTGGCCCTGTGTATCCCGAGGGGCAGGTACAGATAGCTTTGCCGTTGACAGGGTTGGTGTCGCAGTTGGAGCCTTCGTTGCAGGGGTTGCTGATACATGCATCATTGAGGTGGCAAAGCAGACCTGGATAGAGTGACTGCAGTGAGCGGGCCCTGCCCTTCCCTAGCCTTGGATGACTGACTGTTGTAGGTGGGCCCTCCACACCCAACACCCTGGAGTGAATCTCTTGACTGTGACCCACTGAAACATACCACAACACTCAGGTCACTGCAGGAGGCTTGTCCTTGGCAAGCCTGTCTGTCTGGCAAGGCCCGCTGGGTTAGGTGCTAAGGGCCGTATCTATTTTTGTTTTGTTTTTTGAGACAGGGTCTCATGCACTCAGGCTGGCCTCAAATTTGCTCTGTAGCTGAGAATGACCCTGAACTTTTTAAAAAACTTTTATTTATTTGTGTGTGTGTGTGTGTGTGTGTGTGTGTGTGTGTGTGTAAAAAAACTTTTATTTATTTGTGTGTGTGTGTGTGTGTGTGTGTGTTGGAGTATCTGCATATGAGTGCAAGTGCCTGGGAGCCCAGAATAGGCCATTGGCTCCCCTGAAGCCCAAGTTCTTGGTGGTTGTAAGTCACCCAATGTGACTGGATCCGAACCCAGGTCCTCTGCAGGAGCAGCAAGTGTTCTTTTTTTTTTTTTTACTGTTTAATATTTTATTTATTTATTTTATGTGTATGTGTGTATTGCCTGCATGTAGGTAAGTGCACCCATGCCACGCAATGCCCGCAGAGGTCAGAAGAAGCTGTCGGATCCCCTGGAACTGGAGTTACGGACAGTTGTTAGCTGCCACGTGGGTGCTGGGATTTGAACCTGGGTCTTCTGCAAGAACAGTCAGTGTTCTTAACACAGAGCCATCTCCCCAGTCCTAATCTCGAGCTTTTTGCTCCTCCACCTCCTGGCTGTTGGAATGACAGGCATGGACCACCACACCTCATTTATGTGGTGCTGGGGGTTGAACCCAGGGCCTCGTGCATGCTATGAGACGCTGTATGTACTGAGTCACGCGCCCGGTCCTGGAGCCACGTCTGAATGAAGCTTGTGCCTGTGGCCTTGCTCAGGTGTGCTCAGTCAGGGGCGGAGAGCCAGCCAAGTCCACCTCCTCTTCGTGGGAGAGCCCAACACTCACCTGTGCGACCATGTGGACACTCGCAGTAGAAGGAGGCCACTCGGTCATGGCAGGTGGCACCGTGGAAACACGCAGCACTGGCACAATCGTCAATGTTCTCGCCACAGCCCTCGCCCGTCCAGCCGTTGACGCAGACACAGTTGTAGCCGCCGTGGGTGTTGTGGCAGGTTCCGCCGTTCTGGCAGGCATTGGGCATAAGCTGACATTCGTCCACGTCCTCTGTGCAGTACTGACCTGAAGGGGCCACGGGACCGTCAACCTGGGGGTCCTACATGCTCAGCTGCCCAACCCGGGTTGTGGGGCTGCAAACCACCTTCTCCAGGAAGGCTTCCTGCACTAATTCTTTTGGGAGATAGCTCAAGTAACCCATTTCCAGTTCGAGGGCCTACCTGGCCTGTCACTTACTAGACAGTGAGCCTCTTGAGGGCAGCCTTGTGTCCACCCCCCCAGAAGGCTTGCCCTGAACGCCTGAACTCCTGCCTGGCTGTGATGTGAGTTGTGCTGACTCTGAGTGGAGCTGTGACCCAGCCCTAGGCAGAGAAGCTGCCCTATCCCATCATTTTTCTAGGCCATCCTTGGTCCCCCCCGACCACTCCTTGCTGCGAAGTTTAGCAAGTGGGTGGCTGGCCCACACAGGCCTCATGTACGCACCTGTCCACTCTGGCGGGCAACGGCAGTTGTAGGTGTTCACACCGTCCACGCAGGCACCCCCGTTCTGGCAGTTGTTCCCTGGACAGTCGTCCACATTTTCCTCGCAGTTCTGGCCAGCAAAGCCTGAGGGACAAGGGCAGAGTCAGCCTCCATCCTAAGGAAGGACGCGGCCCCCTGGGCTCCAGTGTCTCTGGTTCCTGGCTGGGACTGCAATGCCCTGTTCTGGATGAAGCAGCTACCCTCCCTCCATGGCCTGTTCAGCTCCCTGCCTGGTCTCCTGGCTCCTGTGCCCACAGGTGACAGCTCCTCTCTAGAGAGTCACTATGTAAAGGTTTGGCTGAACAGACAGGATCCTGGGACACAGGGTTATCAAGTCTCTGCCACAAACTCCTAGCGGAGCTGGGGTTCTCTACACTGGCCCAGTGAAACAGCCTTCATGGAAACCCATACTACTAGGGCTGACACTGGGGCTTGGGAGCTCTAAACTGGGAACCAGAACAGTGGGAGCCAGGCAGGCCTGCTAAATCAGGAGAGTAAGCCCTTCCCCTTGAGGCATGGCTCCAAGGGACACAGCTAGGGCATCTCTCTCTCTCCCCCCACAGGCTAAGGGAGCCCATCTAGCCATGGGCTGGGCTCTGGGGTGTGGCCCTGCAGCATGGCCTTCATGAGGGCCTCCTCGGCAGCCTGTTAGCCATTAATCTACTCAACTCCCGCTGGTTCAATGATCAACCCAGAAAGGCGAGTCTGACAACAGCCAAACCTGCAGCCAGTTACTAATTAACGCCCTCTCTGGGGATGCCTTTGACCCCCTCCTGCCCTTGGAGAACCCACCTGTTTGGCTCCTCTTCAGAGACACCCCCCCCCCACCCAAGGGCTGCAGTGGAGCAAAAGCTAGAGGCTGGGAAAACCAAAGTGAAGATCAAATGCTGGCCTGGGTAGGGGAGGAACCACTTGGTGCATGGAGCCCACACAGGGGGTGGTAAGACTGAACACCATGTCTCCCTGACTATGCAGGGCTTCACTCTAGGTCAGGGCATGGTCCCAGGCTGGGGCTGAGGCTCGGGGCTGCCTTGAGCATTGTGAATGGACTCCACTGGGGGAGAAGAGAGGTGAGCACAAGCCCTTTGTGGAGCCTGGCTGGTGCCTCTTTCTGCACAGCCTGCACAGCATCCTCCAGGGAAACAGGACCTGGGGGAGCCTGTGAGGGGCCAGGTAGAGCTCAGTGGGGTACATGAAGGCCAGAGCCACCCCTATTCCCAGTCAGGGCTCAGAGCTCTGTCCTGATTTCAGTGCTCTATGTCTCTTCAGGACATGTAACCCTCAGGAGGACCCAGGGGTAGGGGCTCCTGAGGGCCAGAACGGTGGTTATAGCTGAGCTCAGGCTGAGTTCCTTCAATAGCAACTTGGGTCGAGAGTTCTCATCAGTCTCTACTGAAACATCCAGGCTCCACACAAGGTAGTGGGTTCCCCCTCCTTAGGGGTGACCCATCCCCTGCATATCAGCCTCTAATACCTACCAGCCCTTCCTTACCTCCTGCCCCCTTGCCAGTACCCTGAATTTCCTTGCACCACCTTGTCCAAGGTAAATTGGTGCTAGCTGTATGCACAAGCTCCTTGGATAAGTTACTGTCTCTTACCTCCCCAAACTGCATGTTTACCAACAGTCCCTCAACACAGGTGCTGATACCTGGAGTGTCACAGTCACCAAGGCTCTGGGGCCTACTAAGCATGAGGGTTCTGTCCTAGCTTTCCAGAGAGCCTAGTTGGCCCAGGAGTATGTAAGGCAGCTGTCTGTCACCCCCAGATTCGCTCAATGACTTTCAGGAAATGCACAACCAAGTGTCTGCACGCAGAGTCTTGAGGCCAGCTCTACAGGTCTGGGGCAGAAGGGAGCTTCCTCTTTTCAGGGGGGCAGGGTGACCCTGGACTGGCAAAGGTGGTGGAATGGCCTGAGGTCACCCCAAGTCAGCTGGGACCCTGAGCCTCTAGCACCCAAACCTGTTCCCAACTGCCTGGTATGCGGCTAAGAGATGTGGCCTCAAACCTCTGCATTATCTTTAGAGCTACAGCACAATCTACTCAAACAAGAACCACAAGAGAAAGGCTTGGCGCTCTGGCAGCAGGCCCCGCCCCCACGGCGGGAGCTAGAACACTAGGGACATGATGAGCCTCTAAGGCCCCTGAGGCCCCGCCGCCCAACTTCCATCCCTAGAGATAAGGGGAAACCCCAGGGACTGCCCATGAGAGGGTGCTCCCCTGCCACACAGAGACTCACACGTGGATGCAAGGCACCTCGTGAGCATTCACCAAGGCAGGCTGGTTCCTGGCCCCCAAGAGATTCAGGGTACAGAGAAGGTGTGAGGTTGCCAGGGGTGGGGATGGGGGCGGTCCAGAATGAAGGAGTACCCAGAGAGGGCAGCCTTGTAAGAAGTGAGACTCAGGGACCATGCACCCCTGCTGTCTAAATCTCAGAAGATAGCAGCCCAAACAGAAATGGGCCAGTGGGGCTTGAAGTGTGTGGTGCGACTAAGGGTGTCAAAGTGGTGGTATAAGCTTCTGGCATCCCAGCCAGACCTGCCTCAAGGATTCCTTCCCGGGCACTGGCTCCTGAGAACCACAGCCCTGCCCACCAGGCCGTCTGCTGCTGGCCTTCTCTCTAAGCTTCCTCCTGGGCTCCCCTGACACTGGGCACCCCATTTCTGTATCTCTCCGGCCCGAGGGCAGAACAGACACGTGTGGACATTCAGGCTAGAGGCTAGCATGGTGTGATAGGGCTTACCTGGCAGGCAGGCACACTCGTGGGTGGTGTCCCCCGTAGGGCGGCAGGTGCCCCCATTCTGACAAGGTGAGGGGCTGCAGGGCACGTAGGGCAGCTCACAGTGGGTACCGGTATGGGTGGCACGGCAGGTACAGCGGTAAGAACCAACCTCATTGTGGCAGGTGCCCCCGTGGCGGCACAGCCCAGGGTTCTGACTGCACTCGTTCACATCTTGCCTGCAGGTGGGGCCGTGGAAACCGGGTGGGCATCCACAGATGTAGGAGGACTCAAAGGGCAGGCACTGGCCACCATTGGCACAAGGGTTGGAGGCACACGGGTCAGCCTGCTGGCATGACTTTCCTGAGGGGAGGAAGCAGGAGGGTCAGCTGTGGCAAGGGCCGCCCCAGGAGCCCACAGCAGATTTTGATACCAGGGAGGCACCAGCCTGGGAATGACCTGAAGTGGTGCCTACGTGATTTTCAGCATCGGTTGGAAGATGTGGCCACCTTTCTACACACAGGGGATTGAAGATCACAAGAAACCAAGTAATCCGAGGACAACATCAAAGGTGGGAACAGGTAGTCTTAAGATTTTGCCTAGCTGTCTCCTGGACCCCACAGAACCAGGGTATCCTGGCAGGGAGACAGGGTGAGACCAGCACTGTATGCAGACTTCCATTTTGCTCACAGAAACAGACAGCTGGGACTAGAAAGATGGTTCGGTGGTTAAGAAGGCTTGTTGCTCTTGCAGAGGAACCGAGTTCAGTTCCTAGCACCTATGTAACTCCAGTTCCAGGGCATCTGATGCCCTCTTCCAGTTTCCTTGGGCACCCCCACACAGGTAACACATGTACAAAAACCCACATAAAAGTATTTAAAAAACAAACAAAAGGGGCTGGAGAGATGGTTCAGCAGTTACGAGCACTGACTGCTCCTGCAGAGGACCCGGGTTCAATTCCCAGGACCCACATGGCAGCTACAAACTGTCCTTAACTCCAGTTCCAGGGGATCCAACACCCTCTTCTGACCTCCGTGGCACTGCACGACACAGGTGTGCTCACATACATGCAGTCAATACACTCACACACATAAAATAAAAAACAAAAAAGAAACAGAGACAGTGAGGATTTGTGGCCAGCCGGAAATCAAACAGTGCAAAGCTCGAAAGGGCAGCTTTTCTTGGGTAAGTAACTTCTAAGCCAGCAGAGAATCTGGCTTTCCAGAATACCTCAGGTCACATGGACAGCAGGGTGGACCTGGGTCTGCCCCATCCCTGGGACGGAGCATCCCTCCATGAAGCCAGCAGTCTACTCACAGCCCTTACCTGACCACCCCGGGGGGCAGCGGCACTTGTACTCGGTGAGGGTAAGCAGGTCACAGGTGCCCCCATTGCGGCAGGGGTTGGCCAGACAGGCATTGTCCAGAGGTGTCAGGCAGAGGGGCCCAGAGAAGCCCAAGGGGCAGCTGCAGGCATAGTCCACTGTGCCACCATGGTCCACTATGTGGCATGTCCCTGCGTTCTTACAGGGGGTGCTGAGGCATGGGTTGGGGTCTTGGCATCGCTGGCCAACGAAGGCCCCGCTACACCTGTGGACAGACAGGCCAGGGCAGTTAGCTTCCTAGCTCCCGTCTGTCGGGACCACAGCCGTCCCTACCCTGGGCCAGCCGGCACAACTGGACTCCGGCTCTGTAACACAGGTGGGCAGAGGTTCCAGGGGTGATGAAATGTCTGGACTAGACAGTGGTGGGTTGCACAACCTTGAGAATGCACCAAACGCCCGAGTTGCTCACTTTAAAGTGGTTACTTTCACACGTTAAGTGAACTTCACCTCAATAAAAGGAAATAGTAATGACTGTTCATCGGAGCCAGACTAGAACTTGGATTTCAAACCCAGCAGGACTGTGGGTCCACACTGGCAGTGAACGATGGAGAAAGGGCCCCTGCTGGCCCAGCAGAGCCCTGCGGGGGAGGGGAAGGAGCTGGATGGAACTTTCATTTGAGAAGATTTTCTCTCTCAGCTTCGTTCATGAATATGCATCACCTGGGTAATAAAAGAGATCGTGGTTCCTTCGACTTTCAAATATCAATAGCACAGCCAACGCGGGAAGCCACACAGACTCTAGGGTGCACTGGCTTTCTATTCAGTCCCCTCTGCCAGAGAGTCCTGTAGCAAAAGGCTACGCTGTGACGCGGGCTGTCACCATCTCCCCATAACTCAGCTCCCAGACACAAGTTCCCCATGCCATACTCCAGCAGCATCAGCACACCCCACCCCAATAAGGACACGGTGTGATGAAGGGCAGCTCGCTTCAGCTCTGGATGGGCATCTAGGTGGTCAGTGAGCCTTGCAAAGGCAGATGAATGGGAAGTGGGGGCTTCCTGCCTCCAAGTTTAGACTCAGGGGTCCCCTAGAGTGATAGGCTCAGAGTTGGTCAAACCCCAGCCCCAGGAGTCTCCTCAGTCACCCGCTTCCCGAGACTAAGCCATAAATCCCCACATCCTATCCCACCTCCAGGACCCATACTCCCAGAGAGAGCTCTGGGAGCAGCCAAGCCAGGCTCTTCCCAGTAGCCAAGGCTCTGAGGCAGAACATGTTATGCTGGCCACAGGGCAGCCCCATGGTGGGGCCACAGCCAGGTGCTGGGCAGACCAGCCTCTGCCGACAGCCATCCTGCCTTCCAGACCATGACCACCGGGAAGGGAGTGGCCCCTTGGCCCCCACCCATCCAAGCATCTAAAACTAGGACTGTAATCTGCGCCAACCCCCACCTCCAATGCCAGCCTGTTGGTCCCCGCTTGCTTACAACCAAACCTCTATGTGAGGGTGACCCCAGGAGAGGCCTCACCCCCTAAGGGCTGAGGGAGGAAGTTTGGGGCCCGGGGTCGGCGTCACAGCAGCAGGACTGGGGAGGCATCTGTCCTCTCTTGAAGCCTTTCATCTGTGTCCATGGTTTGGGTAGGGGAGGACGCAAAATGGCCACTCCGGCTGACCATCTGTTGCTAGAAGCCAAAAGTCCCAAACCAACTGGCTTAAAGAAAACAAATCACACCCCACCCCTCAGGGAGTTAACTCAGGCCTTTGCTATGGCTCCTGCTCAGCATGGGGAGAGGTGGGGGTGGGGCAGCTGGCTCCTCCTGCCTAGGGCAGCCTTGGCTTGGTCCGCTACTGAGATCCACACCTCTACACCTGCTTCTCGGGAACACCTAGGCTCTGGCAGGGCTGCACTTAGGGAGTCTAGGGGGCGAACATCGGGACTGCTCACAGATCCAGTTACCAGCAGGCTGGAGTGGCCACTGGGAGCCTGGGATCTGCAGGCTGGGGCTGGCCCCCAGAAACAGCCCTCTTCTCCGGATCAATGCTCCCCTTTGTCGTGCAGAAGTTGGCCTCGGCCCACTTGGAGAAAAGGCTTTTTTCTTTCCCAGCCACTGGTGAAGTTGAGGGGAGGGGTGTTGAGGGACAGAGGGAGCTTCATCTTCAAAGCCAAACGGAGCTGAGCTGCCGTCTACCCATCCCTGCAGCCTGGAAGGGGGGCGGAGGGGGAGGCTCTCGGCCAGTGAGACCGAGCGAGAGGAGAAGCGAGGCGGGAAACTTTCCTTGGGTGGGAAAGGGTTGCCCTCACCACAGTGACCAGTGCCACCCCCAAAATGTGTTAAGTCTATGTTGCTGGTCCCAGAAGGGATACCCTGGGCCCCTCAGACCCTGAGCAATGGACACTGAAATGTGGCCAAAGGGTCCAGACCTGCACCCACCCCTCTCTCCCTCCGGCCATGGGCTTTGTGACCCACAGCACCCTGAATAGGGACCACAATCGGAAGGCGGGAGGATCCCGCCTACGATGGGACACACACTTTGCCAGCACGGCTTGTTCTGCTGGACCAGCGACGAGAAAACATGGCCAATAAATCAGGCACTGGCAGCATGGACAAAGGGCGGCTGGGAGCAGGTGCGCCTGTGGAGGGGACAGCTGCTCCTGCAGGGTGCGGCCAGACGCCAATGCCGCGGGTGGGGCAGGAGTCGGCGGCCGGTGGCCAAGGAAGCTCCTCCGTGGGGGAATGTGGTAGCTGAGAAGGCCCATTGTCCACCATGCTGCCACCCTGGGTCTGGGGATACCGCAGTGCAGGCGTGCCACCTGGCTGGGCGGACCACCACGGGTGAAGCCACCATCCACCACCAGCCTCCCACAGCTACAGACAGGCAGGGCACCTGGATAGGGCTGTCCCTCAGGTGCTCAGAGGCAGGTGACAGAATATGGCTGGGGGCAGCTGGCAGGCCAGTTCAAACGTCCTTCTCCTTCCCTGTCTATTGCCCACACAGTTGGGGTTGCCTGGGGACTGCCACATACTCGCCTCACGGCACTCAAATGTTCCTGCAAAGTAGGAGGGACCTTGAGGTCACAGCTAGGCCATGGCCACCAACCACCAGGGGCAGCTACATCTCCAGTATCAGTGGCCATTTGGTCCTCAACACTGACAGGGGGATGTAACAGAAGATGCCTGGGCCCTATCAGGGAAGCGGCACCCAACAGCCGCCTCGCCTGCTGAGGAATCCCTGAGGGTCAAGCCAAGGCTTCGCTGAGTGACCCAGGATGCCTTCTGCTGCCTCAAGTGGCCTCCTGTCCAGGTAGCAGGAAGGCCCTTCCAGGACCTTTTGAAAGGTTAGGACTCTCCTCCAAGACAGAAGGCCAAGCCACGCATAGGATGAGAATGGCCTGTGCTCCACACCCTGGGGCTCACGGCCTCCCACGGTGGGAACCCAGCCGCGGCAGGTGTGCCCTCTCCTTACTTCCTTCTTAAGGCCACCTTAGGGCACCTGCTCCTCCACACCACATATTCTGTGGCCTAGGGTGTAGGGCGATCTGCTGTGGCTGGCAGCAGGTGAATGGCAGGCAGGCTGGGGCCTCGGGGGGCGGTGGGCTTCTGCAGAGGCAGAAGGGCACAAATGGCCCCTGTGCCTGTCATCCCACAACTGCTGGCTGTGCTTCGCTGGCAGCTTTAGTATTTCCACTGTGCCGCCTCTAGCTGTCACTCCTCACCCCCGGCCCCCCCCCCCATGCAGCTCCATAGAAATGTGATTCTCCAGAGCGTCCGGAGGCAGATGTTGCTGTGACCTCTCACCCGGGACTAATTCTAAATTGTGCTGTTTTCCTTTCCAAACTCCAGGGCCATCTGCCACCCCCAGGGGGTAGATGACAGCTCTCTCTGCCCCAAAATGAGGAGGGGCATGGGGGACCGAGCTGGAAGCACCTTAGCACCTGCTCTCGGTGGGTTTGTGGTCAAGCAGGTCTTGCAAGGGGAGTAGGGGTCTATTAGAGCCCAGATGGCTGGGTCAGAGTCTGTTGAGGTTCCCTCACTGGCTTCCCAGAGGTAGCCAGAAGAACTTTGGGGTGCAAGAGAACACTTCGAGAAGGGGGAGGGGCTTGCGAGACCCTGCTAGCTCTGCTCCAGCTTCCTACATGGGTTTGACCTTCGTTTCCTGGGACAGTCGGGTTACTGGTGCTGGCTTCAGGCAGCAATATTCTTGTTCCCACTGGGAGCAGGGCCAGTAGTGCCCTGGGTGCATGGGCACCCCGAGTGCCTACAGGCCTCTCCTAGTCGAGGCAGGGAAGGAAGCTGGGGGCAGGGCATAAGGACGGGAGACCAGGAGGCTACAGGAGAGGGCCATTTCCACACCCCCCCGCCCCCGTGTTCTAGCTGGTCTTCAGACAGGTGTTTGGGACCAGGCAGGTTTGGTAGAAACCTGGGACTCTGTGTACTGGGGACTCTGGAGAGGAGAGGGGATGGGGCTGTGGTCTGTAAAGGTCTCCTGGGCTTTCTCCTCAATCTCCTGTCTATGAGACCTGCAGTCCTGTCCCTGAGAGAATACATCCATCACATAGGCCCCTATCTGAGCCCTAAGCTGCCTGCTCATCTGGAGGCAGCAGTCTTCAGCCGGTGTCTTTGAGCCCCCAGGGTCCAGATCAACATAAAATCTATGATCCAAATTATGGGAAGAGGCTAGGCCTCCCCACACAGTACCACACTATACACCCCGGCCCACACACTGGCAGACGGGGTGGAAAGAGTCCCTGGATTCATCCACCCCTTAACCTGGTCTACCTATGTTCAGCAGAGCCACGCAGGTGGGCAGGAGGGCAGACACCCCAAGGTCCAGGCCTCAGCCCAGCTACCTGCCATCTTCCCAAAGGCCAAGGGTCCTCTCTTCCCTAGATATCTCACAGCCTCCTGCTCCCAGAAAGCTCCTAAACGTCTGCTCCTCCTGCACACCCCTTCTCCAGTCCCTGTAGGCTTTTCACCCAGGAAGGGGATCTGAGGATCCTGCAGGCTCCAAACCAACAGGTGGTAGCAATGCTCCTGTCCCCCAAGGATGGCTCAGTGAAGCACCCTCCTCCAGCCTGATCCTGTTCTGCTCAGCTAAGACAGTAAGGCTGGATGCCTGCCTGTCAAGCCACCCGTAGAACATCCAAGGCCAGGGCCATCCTGTCACACAAACACAAACAGCCTGTCCTGCAGGTCCTTCATGGGTTCAACAACCCCAGTCCCAGGCCCAGCAAAGGCTTCTTGAGGTAGTGGAGAGGTCCTGGAAGCC